ATATATATTGTTATTGGAAGTTGTTTTAAATGTATTAATTCCTTTTTGAGTTTTTAACTTTGAGAAAAATTGAATATATTTTTAAAATATCACAACTATATTTTCCTTTTTTGAAGCTCTTGAAGAATAATTAATTCTCTGAAAGATTTTTAAAATACTGAACACTTTTGTGGACTTCATATAAACTTGAACTATATATACTGTAAAAAAAAAGAGATCCTATTACAATTTTTAATTAATCGTGGAGTGACGAAAAATGATAAAATATTTATTTCGCTTAAAACTCAAGAGTTCTGAGACCACTTAAAGCAAACTAACTAGTATAATGATTTAATAACTTTGATAAAAAATCTATTATTGTACTTACTCAAGAATAATTTTATATTAAACAAAACATGCTTTACGTAATGCTAGTTATAATTGAAACATCTTTTTTATGCTATTATCAAGGTCGCTAAAAAAAGGTATTTGATAGTGTGTTTCTTAAATTAGCAGGGGCAATATATTTTTTTAAAAATATGCCAAATACTTACAACTTCAAAGAAACAATATCCTTCGATCAAAGAAAATTTCATCTATATTTAGTAGCAATTACTATCTCTTACAAAAAGTATAAATAATTCAATAAATGAAATGAACAGCGGAAATTAACATTTACTTTAAGGCGCCTATTGTTCTAATTAAAAGTTTCTAGTTTCGGTTTTTTTTTATAAATAAAATATTATAAGCTAATGATTAAAGCTTGTTTAGTACTAATTAAGAAACTTATCAAGATTCATTTTTCCTTTTGAAGTTGAAATCTCGAAGCAATTACGATACCGAGAATTAAAAGATTAAAAAATATAAATTGGACTGCTTATTAAGATAGTGAACTTTTTATTACAATTTTTCAAGTATCAAAAAAATGTATCATTTGAAAAGTAGTGTTTTTTATTAATAATTTAAATCAACAAGAGTAATTATATCACACACGAGGATAATTACTTCAACCTTTCCGATTTTATTTAAAACTTAAATTGAAAGAAAAATGTTATGTTTATTTCAGTGCTTTTTTAAAAAAAAAAACTTAAGTAGCATTTGAAATTAATATTCTAAAAATAAAAATGAAAAGAGAAGAACGTTCTTCTTTGAATTTAAACTTAGTAGTGCTTTGGGTACCTTCTTAAAGTCTCATATTGGGTTTTAATTAAAATAAACATATTATGCTTTTCATTTTAAAAGTGAATGAACAGATTTTTTTCAAGTAATATTTTAATTTATGATTTTATTACCTTCGTTTTTGCGTTACATGTACAGGAAGACCAAGATAACCTCCTACGGTTAGCCTGATGAAAAAGGGAGTCTAATCCAAGATCCGTCTATCACTGAGGATGTGTCACGTCAGCACTGTGGTCGGTGCAAGCCGAATGCGGATTCGTATCTACCAGGAAATCGCTGGGATTCAAACCCGGAACACCTCATTGGAAGGCGAACGCTCTATCCCCTGAGTCATCGCGTCTTTTTTCAAATAATAAGCGAATCTCAACAATGTTAGGATTTTTGTTTAAATAACAACAAAACTCAACAATTTTAGAATTTTTGCTTAAATATTAAGGAAAGCACAACATTGTTAAGATTTTTGTTTAAATAAGGAATATCAAATATGTTAGGATCTCTGTGCTTAAATAATGAGCAAATGTCAACATTGTTAAGAATTTACTCTTAAATAATGAGCAATTCTCAACAATGTTAAGATTTATCTTTAAATAATGAAAAATTACAACAATGTTAAGATATTTTTTTAAATATTGTGCAAATCTTAGAATTTTAATGATTTAAATAATAACAAAGCTCAAAAATTTTAGAATTTTTGTTTAAATAATAAGGAAAACTCAACAATGTTGAAATTTTCGTTTAAATAAGGAATATGAAAAGTGTTAGGATCTTTGTGCTTAAATAATGAGCAAATATCAACATCGTTAGAATTTATTCTTAAATAATGAGCAATTCTCAACAATGTTAAGATTTATCTTTAAATAATGAAAAGTTGCAACAATGTTAAAATTTTTGCTCAAATATAGTGCAAATCCAATGATTTTTCTCTTTGCTTTAAAAAAATATTATTATTATTATTACTTTAAAAAATATTATTTCTTTATTTTTAAATTACGCGAAATTATACTTATATTATACGCGAAATTATAAGAAATTGAAAAATAAAATTATGTAGGGACAGAGGTAAAAAATTTAGTATTTATAGTGAAATTTACCGAATTCTAGAGTTCTCACAATGACAGGTTCTGAGGGTGGACCTGCTCCTCTACCATTATAGGCTTGCACTATTACATTATAGTCTGTTAGAGGAGACAATTCCTTGACGACAAAATGAGAAAAAACAGCATTCGAAATGTTGATGGCTTTGAAGTTATAAGGTTCTGATTTAAGATGGGGCTTGTATCCAATATAGTAGCCATCAATACTGTCTGGCTCATTATCCTTGGGTATCTGCAAAAAACGAGCCTCATTACTACACAAATTAATTTGTTTCAATAAAATGTATGAATAAACAGTTTATGATATAATATTTATGAAAAATGCATGATATAAAATAATATCAAAATAATATTATATAATAATATTATACACCGAAGAGCCATTACATTATGACCACCCTGCTTATTACATGTAGGACCACCTTTAGCCCTCAAAACGGCATTGATTCCACAAGGTGCTGATAGGTAGTCTGAGGTATCTGGTTCCAAGAGCTCACCAACTGGTCCTGCAATTCCCTCACATGGCGAGGGGGTAGCGTGGCAGTAAGAATTTGGTTTCCCAACTAGGACCACAAATGCTCTATTTGATTAAGATCAGGTGAATTTGGGGGTCAAGACATGACTTGAAAGTCACTGGAATGTTCCTCGAACCAATCCATGACGATTCGACCCTTATGACATGGTGCATTATCCTGTTGGTAAACACCATCATCCGCAGGAAAAAAAACTGTTGCTATGAATGGGTGAACCTGGTCTACAACTATGTTCAAGTAGCTTACAGACGTTAGGGATTGTTCTATAAGGATTATGGGTCCTAATGTGCCCCGTGAAAACATTGTACCTGGGCGAGAATTCATGAAAACCTTGGTGGGGTCATTGCTATAGATCGAGGGTGGTCATATTGTAATGTCTCTTCGGTGTATAATAGTATGATGTAATAATATTTATATAATAATATTATATACTAATATTTATATAATAATTATAATATTATATACTAATATTTATATAATAATTATAATATTATATACAAATATTTAGATAATATTTAAGAAAAATTTGTGAATAAACAATGAACAAACAACAACATAATGGGAATAGGCATTAAAATATAAAATCGTTTATAGCTATGAAAATAGTTTTAGTGAAGATATTTTTTTCTGATTAATTAAATTATTATTGGTAGACTGTTAAAAATGTTATGATTAAAATGGTAGAAATGCTATGGTACAATATTTTATGGCGAAAACATAGTTCTGCCAATTTTAAATATTAATAATTAACTTCAGAAGGAAAAAATATCTATATAAAAGTGCGAAAAACGGCGTTTTGATTCGATAAATTTTCGTTAAAGACGTTGTTTTATTTGTTTATCATGTATAACTATGCTTGTTTTTTATGTATATTATGTATAACTATGTTTGTTTTTTATGTATATTATGTATAACTATCTGCAGAAGGAAAATGTATAGTAAAATACCAAGTATGTTGTTGAAAACTTTTTTGACAAATTATTCTTCTGTCTATTTAAAATTTGAATTAGTAACTGGAGAATAAGGATATTTTTACTATATTAAGTTGCTTATTATTATAATAAAAATATGACTTATTTTTGTGACAATTTGACGAAGTCATTATTTTTTCTACGCGAAATACGAATCATTAATTTTAGAATTATACATCAAATTACTAAGTCTTCAAAAATATGACTTATTGATAAGAGCAATATTATTGGCGAATATATTGGTTTTCCATTTAAAATATGCCTTCCCACTTGCAAAATGAAGTATACAAGGGGTTCTGTAAATAAGCCTCTTAATGTGTATTTTTAGAATATTTATGAAAAGGAAAGCAAAAAGTATCCCCATTTTCAAATTTCAAAGTAAAATTTAATATGGAAAAAAGTAAAACAATATCGAAATCTGCCAAATTGCAGTACAGGAAGGTGGATGTAATAAGCAACTAAAAAAAATAAAATAAGATGGAATAGAGAGGAGTAGAAAGAAGCACTTTCAAGTTTCAACCTCCAATTAAACCTGTTTTAGAGTTTATTACATCCACTTTCGGGTATTACGGTTTGTCTGATTTCTGTATAATTAGTTGTTTTTCTTTGCTTTTGTATTAATTTACTGTCGCTAACTAGTATACATTTTAATTTTCGTTTTTATCAGGATTCTTAAAATATATATTAAGCGTGGTCTTTACGGAACACCATGAGTCTTAAAATACTAGTTTACTTATAGCTAATAAATATGATGAAAATGACTTAAAAATATTTTGAATAAGTTATTTCTAAAAATGGTTTCGTGAAGTTATCACAGTAAATACATTCTGAAAATCAGATATCTCAATAAGGTTCTAAACGTTCTAATTTGTATTCAAAAATCTCGTTTTCGAAAGGATAAAAATACTTATAACCAGCATGTTTTATATCAAAATATATTTTTTCAGCATATTCATGGAACAATAAATATTTATTTAAAAAATTTCAATTTGTTTATGACAGTTTTCGATTAAGATGTTAAAATAACATAGACAAATAATATTTTGAAAGTGCATTGATGCAAAAATAGAGAAATATTGTTTATCTAAGGTTATTTGAATTTGAATTTCGTTTTATTTATGAGGGTTTAAATAAAAAGCATTTCTGCATGCATTTATTTTATAAATAAATATTTTGTTTTTAAAAAAAAGCAGACATTGATAAATCTCTCGCAAATAATTTTAAAATTTTTTTTAACAAAAGAGTATTAGTATTTATTTCTATCATATTCAGTTATGTTTAGACAATAGTTTGGAAGATTTTTTCTCTGGAGTTTCATAAACTATTCAGATTTTTTATTAGGTTTTAAGATCTCTCTGACATTTTTATTTCTTAGAATCAAAAATTACAACTTCTCAAAATATTTTATATAAAGTTTGAACTCTAATGATAAAATATTCCGATTTAATCTTAATAAAAAAACAATCGAATTATTTCTGTTTTAAAGTCTTTTTCAAGCCTATAAAATTTAGAATTCCTTTAAAAAACGTTGAATGAAAAATTTTCACTAATCATTAAATTACTTAAAGTGAGCTAATGCATTTTTTTTTGGAAAATTGCAATAAGTTTTAAATTTGAAACGTTGCAATAATTTTATGCATAGTTTTAAATTTTTCAAGATGTTGCAGAAATTTTTTAAATTTTGATCCCCTTCAGCAGAGTTATTTTTTTAAAATTTTTTTATCTTTACAAGATTGAATCAGAGATGATTTTAAATGGGAGATGTACTGCTAAAAATTCAAAATTAAATTACGCTAAAAAGTACTGGCACTCTAAATGCAACATCCGTTAAATCAATTTTACCGCAAAATCAATTTTTACCGTTGAATTTCACACAGTAGTTTTTGCAATAGTATTTAATTAAAGTAATTTTACAATAAATATTACTGTAAAAAATGCCGGTACTTTTTACCGTAAACATTTTAATAATTTTTTGCAGTCTACGTAGTGTTCTGTATATGCCTTTAAATGTTTTTCAATAACCTAATGTAAAGCCAAAACTCAAGGTTATTTTTCGTCATAGCATAGAAATGTAATCACAATAAACCGTGTTTCATTGATGTTGTCGCATTCTTCACTGTAAGAAAATTCTTTCTAAAATTACAGTAAAGTAACTGTCAGTAGTCTGTCTATCTAACTAACTGTAAAGTTTTCAGTTTTGAAAATTTTTTTACATTTACGGTTTTGGCGACAATATACAAATACAGAATTAAGCGGTCTTTTTAACCATTTACAACTAGAGTGGTTTGAAAATCACAAAAAAGAAATTTAACTTGTCATTGGATATCAAATAAACTGTTGAATGTGGTTTAATTAGATCTGATTATTTCACTTATCGTAACAAATTGGAAATACTAGGTTTTTTCGCGTTAAGTAGTTTAATGGTGCTGCCATCTACCCGTGAATAGGAGTATCGTGTTTTATTGGTAAAAGGTCATAAATTGGAGAGTGCAAGACACTGGAAACTTCTTATGTATTGAAAGAAATGGAGAAAATGTTGTATTGTATGAAAATCGAATTTACAGTTTTTAAATCGCTTGCAGGTAGTTTGATTAAAATCTCGTGAATATAATATACGGTTTTGTAACCATTTACAGCTAGCATGATTTCAAAACCGTAAAATTGAAATTTAACTGGACTTTGGTCATGTTTGCTTTTCGTTTGTAAATAAATATTGCAGTTTGTTTGTAGTTCAGTTTAGTTTTGTCAAATGAATCATAGTACGTGGCTTTAATAGCTAAAGTGATACTGCCACCTATCTTGAGAGATGAGAAATACTATACTTTTTGTGTTAAGCAGCTCTGTAGTGCTTCCATTTTTGACATCTAGAGTCATTAGTAACACACTGAAACACTGAATTGAACACTTTATGTGTTCGCAGGACACTGAAACACTTTATGTGTTCGTGAAATGAATAAAATATTTTGCTGACGATCTCGGGATTCAAACCCCAGTTTAGCCGGTCACTAGATTGGCAGATTAGACCTCTCCTCCTCCTACTCACACCAAGTTTTAATATTATATGCCACAAGCGTAGTCCAAGTCAGCCTGGAGCAGAATTATTACGACAGTAATCGTTGTGATTTTATTCTGAGCCAGCCACCTCATTGAGAAGTGAGCTCTCTGTTCCTTGCATGATCGCGGCTTTAGTTGTTTTACGAAGTCTTACTCTGTTTTTACTTAAAAAGTCTTACATATTGAAAAATCATATTTAAGTGTAAAAATGTTTAAAACTATAACGTCCCGCTCGTATAAAAATGTCTGGTAATTTAACTTACCAAGCAAATATATCTATTAATAGATAATAATCAGAATTAGTATCAATTTGATAATTAAGTCGAAAGGCAGTTTCCTTTACACGGTGTTCAATACCATAATACTATAGAATAAAATTAAGAGTAAGATTAGAAATTAATCGCAAAATGATTTAAGAAAAGGTAATGTCATTGTACGGTAAGCGAAATAGTACGGCGAAACCTACGCATAGGAAAAAATTCTGATAAACCATACTGTATGGAAATGACATTTTTGCAAAAAAAATCCTGTCAATAAAAACAAATTATATGTTTATTTTACCATTTATAGGGTAACGGTTCACCGAAAATTCTGATTTTTTAAAATTATAGTTATTATTATCATACATTTAGGAAAAAAATTAAAAATTTTACCGAATAAACGCTTTGTATGCCAGACTCTTATGTATCATGATAAAATTACTAAATTTTACAGACCATATTTAAAAAACATATTTCGTTGTTAATTTAACGTTAAGGCGTTTTGGTAAAATTACCGAGCTTTCTGTTCACACAGTTTACATAGAGCCCGAAACACGGTAAAATTTACCTTGTTTTGGTAGTTTCGACTGTACTTTTTTTTCAGTGTAGAATTAGAACTGACAATTTTTATCCATTTATATTCATAAATGGATAAAAATTGTCAGTCTCTAGGGAAATAATAGTGAATAGGGTGAAAAGCAGTAAAGAAAACGATTTGTCAGCAAAACAGTTTCAAACCGTCAAATACAAGGAGAAAGCCCGTAAAAAAACGGCCATTTATTACAATGCAGTAAAAAAGCTCCCATGACTTTTTATATTATAAAAACTTTTTCTTCACTCACTTGCCACGTGATGTTGATTGATCTTGAAGAGAGGGGAAAAGCTTTTATGCCATGAGGTGTTCTTCTGGGAGCTGTAACAAAACACAAAATTGCATCCACCATACAAAAGCAGAACATAATTAGCATAATAACATTATGAATATATATAACAAATATAATATGGCTGAAAAAATAATTCAAGTTTCATTTAGATAAATATAATAGGGATAAAATTCCAAAAATTTACAATTGTTGTTATTAAAGTGGTGACTATGCAAGTAAAGAACTGAAAAAGATATTTGTATATCATGCAAGTATGATTTTAAGCAATTTTTGGTTTGCTTAGTTTTCTATGCACCAAAATTGTATACCATAATGCAGATATCTTCATTTGTTTTAAGCAATAAACATATATATATATATCTATATATTTTTATGTATTTAAATAAAATATCTATTTATATTTTAATACTATATAATAATTATTAAACATGATTATGTTACTCTTTATTTAAAAAAATCATTACCAAAGAGTATCAGTAAAAATTATCGAGCTTTTTTGTGTTCCCATAAAGTGAGAAACAGGATAAATTTTACCACATTCTGATAGTTGTAACCTTACATTTTTTCTGTGTATTAATGACAAAAAGTACTAAAAAATTAGGCTGTAGACTAAGTTGAGTGCCGACTCTCTGAGATAAATTTTAGTAAAGATATAAAAAATAGATTGAAATGTTTCGAAAATATATAGCCTTTTTCACTTGTTTTCATAAACTTAATGATGTAACTGAGAGGACAACTGTTAGAAAAAAAATAAATGCAAGGAAAATTCAGCACTAAAATTTAGTTTAGAGGGTTATTTTGTAACTGAACTAAGAAGCATTTGTTGTACTACAGCTTTGAGGCAAAAACAAGCTCCTTTAGTCGCCACTGGCTACTGGGCAACTGAAATATCAAATGTCGATAAAAAAAAATGTATGCAGTCGTTGCCGGACCTCTACTTTTTTGTTGCTGCATTTTATAATTTTTCCTATGTAATTAATGAAATAATCAAACTCTATGCATTTTAAAATCTCATAAACATAAATATGAAATTATTATGAATGTTTTAATTAAAATTTTTACACTTGTTTCTTAAAATTTTCCTCTGTCTCAGAAACGAACCGTATAATGTTTACCGTATTTTGAGAAATAATTGAAAATAAATTATTAATATTATTTGCTTCAATCAGTTTTTCAATTGTTACAAATTTTTACTTTTTGACAAAGTGACCGCAGTTAAAACTTTTGCAACGGAACTCTGGACAATAGCAAAACTTTTTAAATTTTCCCAAAAATTATACTATGTAGTACTATACTTAGTTCACCATAAATGAAATAATAAAATAGTAATACTATCAGAATCTATTTTCGGGAATCACTTATTATTCAGACACTAAATTTAATCAACAATATGCTTTCTTATCCTAACGACATTAACTTACACAACATGTTAATTATTAAAAACAATTGATTGCATATGGCTGATTAGTTTTTAAATATTTCACGGGAAAATAATTTACAATCGCCGTTCAATTGAATTAATCGTGCTTGATGTTTATACGAAAGCTGATCTGAAAACAATATGATAAATTAAACCGTATTTTAATCTAAATATTTCATTTTTTACGCGATTAACTAAAGTAAAAGACCTAATATAGATGAGTTAAATAAATTTTACAAGTGAAATATATGTATCCAAATAAGACTTATATTACATTTCCAAAATTGAGTAAATTTTTAAAATACATCTCATTCGCTTAAAATATTAAGTCTTCAATCATTAAAGAGCAATTACAACGATCTCAGACATATGACAGACGGGAATACCTGTCTGAATTTAATGGTAAGTCTATATTTCAATTAGATATATGTATCGTAGCTTAAAGATGATGGAATCATTTATAAGTTGGAAATATAATTTTCGTGAAACAATTCTAACCGTTGAATGAAGATGTTTCAGAAAGATCACAAGAATGTGTCATGAATATTACATTTTTCCGGACAGAAGCATTCTTTCGTTTTATCGTACTAAAGGTTTCTTTGTTTCTTGAGAAGTATTATTAAATATTTAAGGAAACACTAAAGATAAGAATATTAAAACTTTCTCCTTTTGTTATGTAAATGTGGAGCATAGAAACTAAAGTAGAAGTTTCCAAATATATTTAGTTCTTTTTTTTCCAAATTTTTTTTATGTATCTAACACTGAAGTTTTATGTCATCTATTTTAACTTTCACTGAAATAAAAGTACGCATATAAATTTCAAAAAATTATTTGTAAGTATTTGTTATGAAATGTTTATGAAATAAATAAATATTAATTAATAGCTTAGAAAATTAAATGAGAAATATGACGAAATAAACGCTATTTTTTATTTTATAACGGTCTTCGAACTGCCATCCCAATTTTTTGGGTTTACGACTACTAACGTTCACCTCCGTAGCCAAGTAATTTCGAACCTAATCCAGAAGACAAGAGAAATCCAGGATCAAGTAATGGGAGAAATTTGCCTTCATGGAGCACATTTTGATTGAACTAATGATCATTTGAATTACATTGAGGGGAAAACCACGAAAACCCACGGTTAGCCTGATGGCAGGGGGACTTTAACTCATGATCCGTTTACCACTGATGATATTTTTACGTCATCTCTGAGGTTGGTGTAAGCGGGATGCGGAATTTGTTTCGAACAACCATCGCTGGTATTCGAACCCGGTTTACTTCTTTGGAATGCGAATGCTCCATCGCTTGAGCTCTCATGGCTCATGAAGGGCAGGGGTCTGTCCAGACATTTTGTGAAAGGTCCGGTTTCCGTGAAATTGCGAAAAAATTACTCACATTCTTGCAACCAAGGTCCGCTTTTATGAATTTGTGCAAATGTGGTCTGGTTACTGCAAAAAATTTTTTGAAGGAGTTTTTAAATTGTAAATCGATACAAGATTACCCTCGGCACTGTAAAATTACAATAAAAAAAGTAAATTTTCAAAAATAAACAGCAATTGCTGCTTCTAAATTAGAGATGCAACATACAAATATTTGATATTTAGTCTATACTGCTGAACACAGAATATTCATTTCGGACGAATAATGGAAGAGTCTATCGAAGACAAAACTTAATTCGTTTACACCCATCTTTCTTATTTTCTGCCCTGGGAGGGGTTTATTCGATTAACAAAACAATAATGAAGATAAACACATTTGTGAAGGGTCTGATTAAAAGAAAAATCATTTTGTGAAGGGTCCGTTTTTAAGTTATATTTTGTGAAGGGTCCGTTTTTATGAAAAGATATTTTGTGAAGGGTCTGTTAATGGATCCAAATTTCTTCTAAACAGACCCCTGAGGGGTATCCTGTTACCATAAAAAAAAGTAAAATCTAATTAATAAACTCAGCTGTTTCCAAGATGAAACATCTATAGTTAAAGAAAATTAATTGGAGAAAAAAATATAAATCGGTAATTATTATTTTTCTAACTACTACAGCGTCTTTGACGTAGCATCCAAAAGACTTTATACCTACGTTCTTCCAGTGTTGTAGCTGCTACTTCTGGTCCAAATTGGCTTTCCCCGAGAGAATTTTCACACTTCACGCGGAAAAAATAACGGTTCTTTGGTTTTAATCCTCGAATTACAAGGGATGTTTCACTGCCTGGAACTGTCAGGGGACCTCCACTGACTTGACCTGCGGAAAAAAAGGAAAGTAATAATGTTACCTCCCCTTTCTGTGGGAATTACATAGATTTATTCCTTTTCGCCTGGGGACATACTTATGAGTTTCTTTTCACACCCGTGTTGGAGAATTTGTTTTAGGGCGAAAGAAGTTTAAAAAGTAACTAAATACCTGAGAAACAGTTTATTGTTCAGCTATTATTATTTTCTTAGCTTAAAATACTATTACAAAATAGAACGAGTGAAAGTATAAAAGAGATTTAGCTTTGCCCATAATATTAAATCATGTTTTAGCGAAGAGTTTTTCAGAAAGGTAACATAATCATAAAATTTAGTTTTTAAAAGTATTTCCGAACTTTAAGGATTCCTTAAATATTAAATCATGCACTTTTGCAGAAAAATATGACAATGAAACAAAATATTTATTAAAAGTATTTCAGAACTTTAATAGTGTCGCTAGTATTAAATCACGTTTTAGCAAGGAACTTTTCAGAAATGTAACATAATCATAAAATTTAATTTTAAAAAGTATTTCCGAACTTTAAGGATTCCTAAAATATTAAATCATGTTTTAGCATTTACTTTTGCAGAAAAATATGGCCATGAAACCAAATACTTGTTAAAAGTATTTGTCAACTTTAATAGTGTCACTAGTATTAAATCATGTTTTAACATGAAACTTTTTCAGAAGTGTGATGCTATCATTAAACAGAGGGAATAAAAATACTTCCGAGATTTAATGTTACCGATAATAAAATCATATTTTGGTAAAAGACTTTTTCAGAAATGTAACATAATCATAAAATATACTTTATAAAAGTATTTCCGAACTTTATGGCTGCCCAAAATATTAAATCATGTTTTAACATATACTTTTGGAGAAATATGTCACTATAACAAAAATAGAGTTATTAAAAGTATTTCCGAACTTTAATAGTATCTCTAGTATTAAATCATGTTTCAGAAGTGTGATGTATTACAAAATAGAGAGGACTGAAATATATTTCCGAACTTTAATGTTACCTGTAATATTAAACTACATTTTAGCAAATGACTTTTTCTAAAGTGTAATATAATCATTTTAAGCTATCTAGAATATAAAATTATTTTTTAGCATGTACTTTTTCAGAAATATGGCACAGTAAGAGAAATGTGGCACGATAATATTTTTTCCGAACTTTTATGGTATCTCTAATATTAAGTTATGTCGTAACATGAAATTTATTCAGAAATGTGATACTATTTGGAAATAGAGGGAACAAAAAATTTCCGGAATTTTATAATTCTTATGATATTGAATCATTTGTTTTAGCATTGAAGAGTATATATCGTAGATCTCTAATAGTAACTACTTGTGGGCTGCGCCCCCTGCTCGCTAACGTTCTCCAACCCCCGAAAATTGCTACGCAATCTTATATGGTTTGCTTCGCAAACCAAGCTCGCTTCGCTCGCTACTAGCTTAGGTATATTGCAAATGCACAAAATTCTAAGAATTCGAAACAATCATTCAAATCCATATAACAACTTTTTTTTAAAAAAGAAATTACATCTTTTTAGTAAATACTAAGTCGTTAAGATAAATTTGAATTCAAATAAGTGACACGTAATTCGTTAAACCTATTAAAAATGTGCTATAGTATAAAATCTTAAAGCGTAACAGCACGACGAGACTCATTTTTCAATGAATAACTAATAACAATAATAAAACAAATAAATTCGTGATATAAATAAAAAATCGTCAAATAAATTCGTAATAAATAAATTCGTTAAAAAAGCGCTTTCGACGAAATACTAAAATAGAGATCTATCGGCAAAGACTACTCACTTCTGCCTAGCTTAATAGTATGAGATTGCCGCAGCTGATAGGGTGAATTTCGGAAGAGATCACATTTGATGGAATGGTTATTTCAATTTCCATTTTTAAAAGCGCTATATGTTGAGCCACCTCAGCTAGATTTGGCATGTGACATTTTTAGCGGCAATCATTGGTCGATTTTCTAGCGTTGCCATTCGGGGAGTTGTAATGAGGCTTTCTTTTGTCGCCGTGTAAGAGAAATAGTAACGTAAACAAAACAAAGCAAACGTTGCCACAGGCGGAAAAGAAATATATATATAAGATAGTATCCTATAGAATAGAAAATATAGATATCCTATCGATATCCTATAGATATCCTAGTATCCGTGTAAGAGAAATATATATATATAGATAGTATCCTATAGTAGTATCTATAGTATTCTATAGCTTCTCCCAGGAACTTATTTGATTGACTGGGTTTTATACTGAACGACTTCCAGTAGCATTTTGTTTATTGTTTCATATAGCCAGGACAGGACCAAATCTAACCGGCATTATATTATGATGGATTGGCAGCAATAACACAGATTTCCCATCACTAAGCAAAAATTAGTATAATGAAAATTCTTTGATACATAGTTACATAGAGTTACATAATTACAGAGAATACTTACAGGTCTATGTAATTGAGCTCTGGCTCATGAAAACCATAATAAACTAAACTTGGCTTGTTTTGAAGGAAAAAAGCTGCTTCACAAAATGAACGAAAAAAAAATCAAAAAGCTTTATTTACAGGTATAGTTTTAAACTTAATTTTTATGAGAAATTGTTATTAACTAAACTTAAAAATATTTTCTTTATAAACTGATTAAAAATAGTTTGCATCCTTTTTTATAAAATATTCAAGCTATGAAACAATCATCCGTTTCTTAAAAAAAAATCTCACTAAACAAAGCAATATCCTTTCATTAACAAAATATTCAGGAAAAGTCTTTGTTTTTCTCAATAAGGTTAATAATATAAATTTCACATTTTGGCTTAAACTTTTTTCTTTTACTGGAAAGTTCTTTTTTTAGGCCTAATGATTAATCGTGATAAGCTTGATGACTGTTCTTTAAGTATCATAAATATCATCCCCCCATCATTTTATTTTTTCGTTGTTTTTTCATCATTAATCATACATTTCATTACTTACAGTTCAGTTATTTTGCTAATATTTACAACGGAGCATTAAAGAATTTATAACAGCGGTTGAACCTGTGTAAACTAAAGTGAGATAAATGATACGAAGAGTAATTTATTATAAAAAATTGATACTTACCATTATTGTTATTTTTTACGTTGATACCTCTAAAATTTAAAGCAAACATATGAGTACAAAGCTAGTTATAGCCGCCTTGATATTTTCAAAGTTAATTTTTAAATTGGAAATATTTTATAAATAATTTTAGTTTTCTCTAATTTGTAAAAAAAATCCCAGATTTTTTCTGTTTTTTTTTTAATGTTTTATAAACCAGACAGACGAAGAAAAAAATTTGGTCTTTTTAACTAAATTTTCAAATTAAATTATTTTTAAAGAATTAAAGGCATAAAAAATATACATAAGACTATAAAAAAATGGAAAGTATCAATTTATTAAGTATTTGATTATCTTTCATAACTTAACATACAATGTTAAAATTTCCATTTCAATCAGTTACACTCGTAATTTGTTTTGTTCAGCATTTAAATTTTATCTCCAAGGAATCTTTGTGCTCACTAATTGCTTGTCTGGATGAAAAAGTTAAAGCACAAGAGTCAGAAGCGGCTATACTGCGCACAATATGAGCGCTTTTCTGCGTTTAATGGGAAAAATAAGACAAAATTATAAGATAAAGCTGCTAAAAATAAAGAGTAATTAATCAGACTGAAATAAAAAAAAGTGTTTACGGAGAAATGCGATAGGTTTAAGGGACTTGTTGGAGAATTAAGGTTAATGGACTTATGAATTTTTTGATTTGGACCAATCATACAGATATTAATATAAAATAACACACAACGTTTGTATTATACCTTCCAGCTGTCTCCACATGACTGTGTATTGGAGAATGGGAGAGTTTCCGTCAAATGGTTTGCTCCATGACACACGGACACTACGACTAGACACGTCATGCACTTCTGTTTTTTGAGGAGCGTCAGGAATATCTACATTCAATAAACAACCATCGATTATTACCATAATCAATATATTTTATTATATATTACAACTACAACTATTGGGACTAGTTAAGAGAGCAAATTAAACAAAATAGAGTATTTTGTTTGCACAGAAATATGTTATTTCCTATGAAACGTAAAACTACAAGCAGAAAATATTCAGAAAAAAGAAATATAGTCGAAGCTACTAGAAAATAGCAATATTTATCGTGTTTCTGACTATATTTGGGAACACCAGGAAGAACGCTTTTGTACGCAAAATGCTTTTTGTACTGGCTTTACCGTTAACAATAAAATTTGGTTTTAAAATATGTGATAAACTTTGGCTAAATATGGAAAAATTGGTAATTGTATCGCGATGTCTTAAAGAATGGCACATACTAAATGTATTCAAAAATAAATAGCATCTACACATTTTTGAAAAAAATGTATGGTCTCAAAACTGACATATAGGAAGAAATGTGGGAGAGAACTGTTCGTTGGCTAAATGCAGGATTCGAATCTAGAACCTGGAAGTTCGTAGTAGGATGCTCTGAAAATAACAATTGTAAAATGCAGTTCTGGGCGAGTTAGCTTTTTATACAGACCACCACATGACATACGAATTTCCAATTTCAATGATACGAAGTCAGGAAATCCGTAATTTTAATTTCACCTTTTGCTTATTTTACCATATTTCAAAGTTTTTTAGGAGAATTAAGTGTGTAAGGAAGCTTCCTGACTCTCCTTGGACTGTGCTGCACTAGTATGGTAGTTAGAGCATTCTGTTATACGAACCTAAAGACCCTTGATGACAAGATAACTAAATAAATTGTTAATTAACAATTTCCTTCCCTAAAAATTCCTGACAATGTAAACTATGAAGCATTTTGTTTCAACTTTAATGAGTGCATGGCAATAGGATTAAAATGTGGATAAATATTTCATGAAAGTTAAATAATTTATTTTATTTTAAATATAATTATGAGAGACTTGTAGTTTTTAGATTTTATTGTAGTTTTTAGATTTTTAGTTTTTAGATTAGTATTCAGAGCTGAATGAATTTACTTAATTTTTTTTTTTGTTTTTTGACAACTTTAATTTTTAAAAATTTTCAAATATCTTATCACGAAGCTCATTGCAAACGTTTCTGTTGAAATTGAAATTTAAATAAAATATTTCATGGATTTTGTTAAAAAAATTTCTGTTTAAAAACAATTTTAAGAAAATGTATATTTCCTTCTTCCCTTTTGGATCTTAATTTAAGTAATAGATGAGCAAGTTAATTTTTAATTAAGTTTGATTCACGAATGCTTTTTGGCACAATTTCATTTTTAAATTTCATCTCTTAATCCACACTATTATTACTTGTGATAAACATAAAAACATTTGTATTAAATTAATAAGGACGATTAACAATTAACAAAGTTAATTTAATTAAGAAAGAATGTCATCAATTTTTTACATGTTAGCAAGAATTTTTATATAAAAATAGTTGTAATTTTTATCTTAAGGGCGTATAAGGAATGGAAAAAAGGAAAAGAAAAGAAAAGTTACAGGGTGTATTTCAAAAAGAAAGCAGTCATTAGTATCACTCATGTATGAAATATTCATTGGCGTGAAAAAAAGAATTCATTACCTTGAATTGTGAGTTGGATATTCTTGGAATCATCGCCATATTCATTAATTGCATCGCATGTGAACAAAGCTGAGTCTTTTTTCTCTACTTTATCAATAACTAATATGGACCTGCCGCCTAATGGTGTCTCTTCTGTTGTTTGAGAATACCTAAAAGTGGTACTTATAAATATGAAACTGGTACACTGTAAAAAAAAATTCCACAAAAAAAAGAAAAAAAAACATGCTTTTTACAGAAAAAACTGTTTGAAGATAAATACATTTTTTTTTCTGTTTTTAATCATCTGCATAAAATTCTCGTTTTCTAACAGACTTTTTTCCGAATATTTGGCAATTTTAAAGAGTTTTTCAAAAATGTTTTTCTAAGTTCTTCATCCTAATCGTAAATAAACCAAAATTGTCAATTCAAGTTCCAGTTTTCGCCGTGCAGTTTTACTTACCGTAAGATAAATTTATCTTTTTCTAAATCATTTCACGACTATTTTCTATGCCTTTTCTCACTTTTCAGGAATTGCTTTGTAGTTTAGAACAATATACAAATAAAATTGTGATTAAAATACATTGTCAAATTGATACTCAACCTGATAATTATATGTCGTTAGATATAATTTTTCAATGTGGTAAATTGCCAAGGAATTGATATACGAGAAAGTCGATATAGTTTTAAAGGCTTTATAACAGTATTTTTTATGTGAAATGAACCGTTTTATACTGACGCACTAGCTGACAGTCTATTACTGTAAATTTACCATTTTTTTTACAGTGTATTTGTTAAATTTGTAGCATAGAGTGTACCTCACAAATTATTCTCAAAAAGAATTTTTTCCTCTAGGAGAAAAAAAATTGCTACCATAGTGGCATGTTTCCTAATTACATTTTAAAAATATAAAATATAAATATTTAATATTAGTTTAAATTAAAAATGTAAGTATTTAGTATTTAATCTAATAAAAAATCTCTTAAAATTGGTTAAAAATTTTTATAATAACTTAAAGCGAATATTTTTTTGAAAGTAGAAATATATCATAAATTTCTGATTTAAGTTCTTTAATATAAAGTTTAAAATGTCAAGAAACAGTCAAAAAATTCATAAGGAATTGAACTCTAAAAATCTACACAATAGCCTTATTTACGAAATTATTTGAAAATTTAAAGTATGCATGTTTCTTAATATAAGTTATGATATAAATCTTATTCGGAAAGGATGTTAATAATCTTAACTAAGAAATGAATAAAGAAATTAAAGTATGCGAATTTGTTGACTTGAAAACTTTAATCTAACGTGTAATTTATTTAATAACCTTACATAAGGAATATGGTAATAGTTTGTAAAGGAAATTTTAAACATGAAAATCGTACTCTGAATTTACATAATAAACTTACCTAAGGCATGGGTTGAAAATTTTGAATGGGCATATTTGTTAATAAAAATTAAGACATTAAAATCAAAAGTGATGCAATTATGTGGGACATCACTTCTTTGGGTGCCAATCAAACGTGACTAAACGTGACCAAAAGTAAGCAAACGTGACCGCACCGCCGTATTAAGTGAGACGGTGCGTCACGTTTGCTTAGCACGCTGTGTAAAACAATTGGTAGTAAATCTTTCTAGTCGCCACTAAATGGCGGTTTAATAAAATGGTCATGATACCACCTTTATAATAATATAAGCATATTAAACAACATAAATATAAGTAATTAAGTGAAAATTTGTTTTAGTTTTAAAAATTAAGAAGATAATAACCCTTTGTCTTGTTTGTAAATTACGTTTTTTTTTCTCAAACAAATTTAAATAAATCTCAGAGTGGACTTATTTCATATAATTTTCACTTTAGCAATTTTTAACTTTAATTTAGAAATAGAAGAAAAATTAAACTAATTATCTTCAAACTTTAATTAAACTAGGAAAATATATAGAAGAACTGAGGAAGAAAATACTTACCTTGTTTCAGTTGTTGCGTCTAGATGAGCCCCATTTTTCTTCCACGAAAATGACATGTGTTTGTCGCCAACAGCTATGCATTCCATCGTCGCTTTTTCACCTTTTCTGGCTGTCATCATGGCGTATTTTGAGACAAATTGTGGCGCACCTTAATGCAAGAGATTAATCCTAGTTAGATAACTTATTTTTCAAAGCATGTACGTTTTTACGTCTAATTTAAAAGTTATTCTAATATACTTGCTAGAATAATGACTTTTCATTCGCTTCGTTTAACATTTGTCATAATCATTCAGCATTTTTTGAGGTTAAAATGGATAGATTGTGAAGCAAATATTATTAATTATTAACAAATTACAATAAACGTATTTATGCGATTTAAAAAGGTTAAGTAATTCATGTGTACTTATATTTCCCTAGGGTCAAAAATTATCAGTTAAGTGAAAGTAAAAATATAATTTTAGCAAATGCAACAAATTTAAAAAATGTTTTTTAAAGATGTCATATAGTTTTTTTTAAAAATTATTAAATATTTTAAAAGGAATGGGAGGCTTAAAAGCTTGTGTACGTCAGAATTAATCAAAATATTCCACTTTGCTTCTTTTTTAAAACTACAACTACTTTATAATTTGCTTTTATACTTAACGAGAATTTATACATTTATATACTAAAATAAATTATTACAAATAGTAGACGAAATAAATTTCTGAAAAAAATATTAATAACATCATCAAACATTTTTTATCGTGTTTTGGCGACTGTTTGAATTTCTTTTACAATTAAATGACTCTGACAGTGAAATATATGCACTTAACTTAATTTGATTATAATTATTTGTTACCTTGCTAATAATTATTCTAATTTCATGTTATTTCTGAAAAGACAGAGCATTCGTTTTAACTTTTATCTAAATTAACTCTGTGTTTCATAGTATTAATCATGCTACTTTGTTGCATTTACTATTCAATAATGCAATTACAGTTAGGTATATTGTATTAGAAAATTTTTATATGTTTGGACAGTTGGAAATGTTTTGCACTTCAATTAATTAGATTAAAAGTGAAAAATTTCAAAAAAACATATCCATTTTTAATTAATTACTCTCATTATAGTTAATTAAAAATTATGATTAGAACTCTCATTACTGAAAATATGGAAAACTCTTCTCAGTTATCGCTTTCATTTTGCTTTAATCGCACACTGCATGTAAGTAATTAATGTATTGAACCAAACAATTGTGCATATTTTCTAAAAACTTAACAAACTTGCGCTCAATTGAACCAGCATATCGAATTTCTCAAATCATTGACATTATGGTTCAAATTGGCCCTCATATTTTATTTTAGTCGTGCACTGCAGGTAAGTTGTTTTAAGCGTGTTGAACCAAATTGGTGTTTATATTTGCTGAAAACTTATCAAATTTGCCCCTAATAGGACCATAATATCGTCCTTCTTAAATCTTTGACATTATTTTTCAAATTGAAATGTAAATGAGAAGGAATTATTTAATTTATTACCTTATAAATGCTACGGCAATTTGCGAAATATAATCATATGGATGTTATTGCTCAACTTTAAGAATATAAAAATTTTCTGAGAGTGCAGCAATTCATAACTTGCTTGAATGTCTTTATTCACATATTTGCATATACCTCCATAAAAGTATGGATTTATGTATATATATGCATCCTCAATTTATATTGTGTTTAAGTTTCTCTGAAATCGAGCAAAAAATATAACACAAACTCAAATTTTTAAATATTACATGTTTTCTTGGTAAAAAGAAGGAAGTTAGATTCGGTATGAATGAAATATTGCACAACTTTTTAGTTTGCGTGCTGTAGTAAATTAAATTGAAGCGAAATGTGGCCATACGCTGTTAATATGATATTGACGCAAAGTGAAAAAGTGAAATTTGAGAGAAACTTAGTAAATTCGGTGTAACTGACTTCACTGTCTTTTTCTCCCGATACCTTTCTTTCTTTATATAACTGCTTGTTGTAAGTTTCTAACAACGTTAGATACAGGAACTCTACCAAGCATGAAAACGATTGCATTTTAAACTCATATTGCTTTTGTGATATTCATCTATTCACCCCCATAGATGGCGCCACTGGTAAACAAGAACAATCGTACCCCCTCTGCCTTAATGGCATACGTCAACAACAACATCGATTCACCCATTTCCTAAACGCATCATGGATATTGTCTTAGAATTTTCCATTAAAAAAGGTATAGTTCTCAAAATAGTTTGTTTGATAAAGCAACTTACTGTGCACAGATAGCCTCACTACAGTACTCAAGCCGGAACCAACTCCATTGTTTGCCTCACACAAATAGTATCCTGAATCAGCTGTATCAACACTCTGGAAGTTCAATGATCCGTTGACCAAAATATGAACGTGGGAGCTGCTGACAATGGTTTTGAACTTTTCAGGTGGCTCACCTATAAAGAAATTCAGTTATAATAACCATTACTACAAAATGTTTCCTTTACGCTATATTGTATATAGTATTGATATTTTAAAATCCTGCTATCTCCAACAGTTATTCGTCACATTTTTATTATCTTTTTATTTTTTCTTCTTTTAAATATCATTGTTTAACTCTTCATGTACATGTAATTTTTTTTTCAGTTTCAATAAAAATTATATAATTGTATATCAAGGGCTGTAATAACATAACACCCTATATTTTCTCCTTTAACAATTCTTCTCTCAATTCTTTTAAATTTTTAATAATTTATCATGATAAAAGTAAAATGATTCAGTAATTTCACAGTATCATGTGAGAAAAAAAATTATTAAAAACTGGTTTAACTAAGTATAAAAAAAGTTATCATTAACCGGACAAAAATTACTTGCAATTTGTTCTTGAATGTAATTTCTTGCAGATTTGAGAATTGCAATTTTCAAATTTATGACATGTAGATCAACAATAATTTTCCATACCATTTGATACTTTCCATCGCACATGAGGCAAGGGTACTCCATCTGCTTGACAGTCTAACCTTGCCGGACGTCCTGCTACTGCTGACAAGTCACTTGGTTCAATTATCCATCGAGGAGGGACTAGATAATTAAGAAGAAAAAAAGGCGTTGCTTTGATCATTTTCTTCGCAAATAACACAATCATAAAACTGCAATAAACGCATGGTATTTTAATAATTTCTTTAAGGACTCGCTTTAAATTACTTTAAGGATTCTCCAAGCCCAGTAACGCAACGCCATTTTTTGAACTTCTGATATTAAAACTTTATTGTCGCACTAGTTATTCTTGTTGTTAAGTTATTAAAGTGGAAATTATACAAATTTAAGGATTTCCCAAAAATATGAATTCCCTTCTTCTTCAACTGAACTACAGCCTACTTGATGTCAAAATTATCTCAACAAGCTTTCTCCGATTGATTCGAAAGGACGCCATGGTCTCCTAACGATTGATTTATCATGCCCTGAAATTTGCTTACTTTACCCGATGGGTTTAAGTTCTTATTTTTGTCATCAATTGCAACCATTGGATATATAATTTTATTTATCGAAACATCTGACGTTTTTTAAAATATCTGAATAATTGAATTACCAAATGGTTACCTCATAGCGGAAGTAGTTTTTGACATTATTCACTTCGGGTTGCGCAATATCTAGGTAAAATTTGAATCAAGCCGCGATGGCTCAGGAGATAGAGCTTCCATCTTCCAATGAGGTGGCCCAAGTTAAAATTCCAGTGTTGAGTGGTTGATACGAAATTTCAAGGTTCTTATCAAACTCATTGCTGGCGTAAAATATTCTCAAAGACAGACGAATTCTGAGTTAGATCCCCTTGCTGTTTGATTAACTATGGGAGTTTTCGTGGTTTTCCTCTCCATGAAACGAAAATTCAGTTTAGTTTTATCAAAAAGTCCTCCATGAACACTAGTTTGTCCCAATGCTTGATCCAGGAATTCCTTTGATTTCTGGGGCGGGTTCAAAATAAGGCTATGGAGTTGAACATTGATAGTCGCAAACTCAGAATTTTGTTGAATGCTTAACACCGGTTATAAAATAAAGTGAAATACAAAATATCAGCAACTCAAATTTGAGAACTACACCAATAAAATTTTAATTGCACGTTTAACAGACATCCTTACATTAAATCATCAAAAATTTCTGCAATTTCAATGTGGAGCTAAATTAAATAACATAATAGTGCAAATACTTTTCTGTTAAATTTGATTAGATGCTAAATTTCAATTGAGAATGCGGATTGTTAAGACAAAGCATTTAAGAAAAAAATATACGTTTAAGTGCAATAAAACATAATACTTATTCTACGAATTATGTTTACGCTAAGCAATATAACTCATTGAAAAGAATCCCGGTAAAAATCACGTAAAAAGTAAATGCAATTAGGATGCCAGTACTTCTTCTCTTAAAATTCCTTTTTACCGGTATATGTTACGGAGGAAAAATATGATGGACCGTAATTTTTACAGTAATAATTGTAGGAAAATCTCTGATACACTCCGATTGATTAAACATTACTTTACAAATCAACGTATAATATTTTACGGTAAAAATGAATTTTATCGTAATATGCATTTACGGCTGATGCAACAAAAGTTCCGTTACTTTATACAGTAATTTGCACCGAAATTTTTTACAGTGCACTCGTATAATGAAGAAAAGTTTTCAGACGAAAGATGTTTCAGTCAAATAATGAAGAAAAGTTTTCAATCAATCTATTATATTATAGTTAGTGTTTGCTAGCTAAACAATAAGTAGTAATTAACGAAATTTTTAAGATAAATGAAAAAAGCACACACCTTTTACAGTAAGCAATGCACTGTAAGATCCTGATGCAACGTCATTCCTAGCAATGCACGTGTAATTTCCGTTGTGCCTGTATGCTAAATTCTTTAATGTGAGGGTGGATACAAACCCTTCATCTGCATACACCACCATAGCATCCAGAGCTTCACCATCTAGCGGTACACCATCTTTCAGCCATGTAGTTGACAGAGGACCATCTCCTGCTACGACTATACAAGTAACTGCTGTTCTCATACCTTCATGAAGGTTTTCTTTAAAGGAAAAACTTGCAACTTTTGGACCAGCTGGAAAACGTGAAGACAGAAAGTTAGCTACCATCTACAATAAAAAGTAATATAGAGACAAAGTTTTTTGTCGCATTGATCATAAGAATAAACTCAGAAAAAATATTTATATCCGAATGAAACGTACGTACAAGCCGCGTTTTTTGACCTAATTGTGGTGAAGATTCATCATATCTGTATTTCCAATACTTTCTTCCAAAAATTGTCAATTTTTGATGTTTAATGGGCCGGATTGTTACTTAGTTTAATAGTCGGTTGCTAAAAACTCTTTCGTTATTTAAAATCTTTGCTTTTCATCGCACTAAGAAGTAAAATTTCCACCATTATGAACATGTTTTGCGTGTCCGGTAACGATTTGCAATGTTTGCCATGGATGTTATTTCTGAGCTAAACCAAACTTTCAAAAATTCTGGATCAAATTATGGTACAAATAATGGAACTTTGCGTGCATCATCCGTAAATTTATTTTACCGCATAATATTGTAACATAATTTTTATCTTAATATTTATTTAATTAGAGTTATACAGTAATTTTATGGTAATTAGTAGTGGGAAAATTACAGTGTATCAGATTATTTGCTCCGTAATATAGTTCCATTAAAAAGCACCAGCATCATAAGTGCCGGTACTTTTTATCGTAATTCGATCTAGAATTTTTGACAGTGCAATACGAACAGAACTTTCTCGAGTTTAAGAAGTATTGAATTTAAGTCATGACATCCTGAAATAATCAAATTAATTTATACACTAGTTTTTTTTTATCTGCGCTTTGTTATTCGCGTTGAATCTTTCAGTTTTTTTAAAGTTACCTTAACAATTCATATAAATTTTAAAAAAAATTTTGAGTTTATATACCCTGTTCCCAACATTTGTTCTTCCAATTTGGATATCAACCTTCCAACTTTTCTGCCTTCCTTAAATAACAACATTTTTGATGATAATTTTTTTAAATAAAACATTAAAAAAATTCTGTATTCGTCCATTCGAATGCTGAAAATTGATCATTAGAGCGTGCGTTCAAATGTTGATTGTTGGAGTCATCTTCTATCTGGCAAACAAACAGATTTCGATGAATTTTATTACGCCTTCTTCAAAAATGATTCGTCAGATGATGAGGGTACATTTCTTCTCTCCTGGTTTTAATTTTGCTGTTTGACAACCAACGAGTGTACTTTTCGTTGGTCAATGCAGGAATACCCTATATATAGAGATGCCAACTGCTACGGAATCCACGAAAAAAAAAAGATAGAGAATTTCTAAAATTTGCAGATTTTCGGTAAATTTTTACAACTATTAAAGGTACGACATGGTACGAAAGGTACTTTAGTATAAAAGGTACTTTAAAAAGGTACGACATGGCTTAATGGTAAAAAAGTGGCGTATTATAAGCCTCTGAATTATTTAAAAGCAATGGTCAGTAAAAACCCTATAAATCGAATTTATTAAACCAAGAATCATATTAAGAGACTGCCATTCGAAAATATTTATTCCCTGTCCAAAGAAAGTTGCCATCTCTGTGTATATATCTGAGTTCTGACATCTAAAACTTTTACTTTAAAAAATAGTACCTTTTTTGTGTTTCAGACAAAATTTATCAACTTTGTTACGTTAAATGACTAGCTATTATTTATCTCTAAATTATCTTTTCCGAAAAATATAAGTGATATTAATAAAGACTACTAGCACAGCTTATCTAAAATTAAAACTCAGACAGTGTCATTTCAAACACTGCAAATGAATTTAATGTTTAACAGCAAACTTCAGAGAACATTGACGAGTTGACAATGAAAATATTCCATCCATAATAACGTATTCAGAGAGTTAAACTACGGTTAAACCAACTATAATTAGAGTCAGATAATTATTGTCCCTAAGTGAGGACTAATTTCTCTAATGGGATCCATTTTATGTTTGCTCCAGAAGGGCATTAACTGTCATTTAAATTTTATTCAATGCCATTTAGAGACAGGATTGTCATAGACTGACTTAGCTTTGAGAATAAAACTGTCTTAGGTATTAAATAAAATAGTTAATGGAGATATGAAAGTTAAGGAACTCCACAACTGGGTATTTGTAAATATCTGGTCAAATTACCGTCCAAAAGAAGATAATGTCTTGGTACATAAAAAAAGAGTTAAGAAACAATTATTTTTATTTCTATTTTTTTACTAAACAAACTATAATAACAGGCATAGTTACACTGAAAAAAATATTGGTTTATAGTTGGCACTATTTTTAGTGCTGAGGTAAATTAAATACATTTTTTAAAATAGAACTTGCACTTGTTTTCAAGAACAGAACCAGCAAAAAATTATACAAAATCTTCGAAATAGTAATTGTTTGTAAGAATTAGTGCAAATATATTACTAAAAATGTGTTTGTTTTTCGTACAAAGCGTTTTTGTGATGAAGTCTTTAAGTTAACTCTAATGCTCATGAGAATATGTGGTGTCAGTGAGCATTAAAAGTGAATAAATACAGAAATAAAACTGTAACTGGTAAAAAGTGAATAAGAAAAATACTGACTGCAGGCACTGCAAAATTTTTTTAATTAAATTTAAACTCAGCACCAAAAATAGTGGCAACTATATACAAAAATATTTTACAGTGTAGAAGAAATGAATTTAACTTGAAAATTAACAAGTTTAGCAGAAAAAAAAAGAAATTGGAATATTTAATTCTTTTAAAATTCATTTCTACAAAGCTAATTTTTGATTACTAGATTTGCTTCGTAAATTAGATTTAGAAAAGTCAGTTCAACCCGAGCACTCGAATGATGGCGCTCACTCTCAAGACTAACATTTTATTTCATTTTATTTGCCAAACACCTGTCACGAGTTAGTGTCTCTAGAATGAGCGTGGTGGCTCAATTGCTCGAAGTATGTCTACTCTCTTTACGAAACAAAATATGTTATCATTGAAAAATTTATCTTTCTGCTTCAGTTTCTTGAAATTATTAACTTCATAAGCTCCTTTTTTAATCAGTTCTAAACAGAAGATTAATGTTTCAATCAGAGTATGATAATCCACAGCTTTATTTATCGTTACGCTTACATTAAAGAAGCTCGCAAAGCAACCAGAGGAGGGAGTAGGTGAACGAATTGAGTATTATCAATGAGCTTCCCAAGTATTGAAAAATTTGCAATTTGTATAATAATGAGTATACAGAAGATTTATGCCATTCCATTTCTATGTAAAAATTTTATTAAAGGATTAAATGCGTTCGTAAAAAGTTGTCCAACACATACACATTTACAAAACAAATATTTTAGAGAAAAGATTTTTAAAATAATTTATAAATTTTAGAATATTAGCATCCAGTAATACCGACGTATGGATGAATTTATTTTGAAATACTTCCAGTAGAATAAATAACATTTTCTGCGATAAATAAAGATGTTTATAAACGTACAATTCCTGATTATCTTGAGAATTTGCGGAGTTTGTCGAGAGCGAAAGCATGTAAATTATTTGAACACATTATGCTTTAACTCACTTCTGATAGAGAATCTGAAAGTACGAGAGACCGGAACACCTTGTTGAGCTCGCACTTCACAACTGTAACGACCATCGTCAACAGTTGGCTGAATTTCGTTGATAACGAGCGTTCCATTTGGGAAAACATGCTGTCGCTGATTGGCTGGTAGAATGCGTCCATCTGCAATTATAAGAGGGAAACACTCTTCACTCTTTTATAAGTGGAAAGATATTAAAACTTAAATATGTTCAGCAAAGTTCTTTATCTAATCTATCGCACATATTTAATATGATTCTTGATGCATTAATTTTAAGAGGAACATTCAAAGCATACCCAATAATTCAATAATAAATTTAAAATAAATATTTAATAATAATAATAATAATCTTAATAATAATAATAATAATCCTAATAATAATAATCCTAATAATAATAATAATAATCTTAGTAATAATTCTATTAGTAATAATAATAATCTTAATAATAATTCTAATTGTGAAAATAATAATCTTAATAATAATAATCTTAATAATAATAATCTTAATAATAATAATAATCTTAATAATAATAATCGTAATAATTAAACTTATCTTAATAATAAATATATGAAATTATAAGAGAGGAGCATTCTTCATTATTTCGTGAGTGGAAAGATATTAAGACTCAAACATGTTTAACGAAGTTTTTTTTATCTAATCTATTGCATATAATTAATGTAAATTTAGATATATAAATTTTAAGAGTAACATTCAAAGCATACTCAATAGTTTAAAAATAAATTTGAAATAAGTAATTGTAAATATCATTATTAGAATATTAAAAATATTGTTTTAATGATTATTAGTAAAATTATTATTTTTATTACTATAATTATATAACAATAATTATGGTAATGATCATTATTACTATTCTATTAATAATATCAATTATTATTATTATTAAAACTATTCGTGGTATGAAGTATTTACCTTCATTACTATTCTATTAATAATAAAAATAATGATAATTAATATATACTCAATTTTAAGACAGAAACACTCTTCAATATTTTTAAAGTGGAAAGGTATTAAAACTTAAACATATTCAACAATGTTCTTTATCTAATCTATTACACATAATTATTATAATTCGTGATGTATTATTAAGAGTAACTTTCAAAGCATATATTTAATACATAAAAAATAGATTTAAAATAAATATTTTTAAAAATTATCATTATTAAAAAATTAAAATCAATATTATCATTATTAGTAAAATAATATCCGTTGCACTCTCCAGTGGATCCCAGCTCATGTTGGAATCGAGGGGAACGAATGCGCAGATGCCCTTGCAAAGAAAGCACGCGACGAAGATCAACCTCGAGCTGTCACCTGTGCAGATGCGAATGCTGTCGCCTGGCGAAGGATATACAACCAGCTTTTTAGCAAGGCAACAATCCCCGATCTAAACTGCCCAAGAAACCTCTCCTCTACAATAGCTAGGCTAAGCTCTATACATTTCAAAGGTATGAAGATCTCGCGCGCCAATATAAAATCCTATCCCATCTGCAAGTACTGTCCTCATTTGCAACTAACTCCAGGCCAGGTTTTTGACTGATAGGCCATTATCGGTTCCCTCTTTCAACTTGGAGCACCCCCATCGAAATTCTCCACAGCCATCGGGCTCCAGAACTTGCAAATCTTGTTATCAAGACTGTTGGAGGACTCAAATCTCTATACTAGCACTGCATGCATAGACACGACAACAACAACAACAGTTAAATAATATTTTTTATTATTGTGATAGTTAGAATTTACATAATATTATTAGTACTATTAAAATAGTTATTGCAATTATCATAACTGGTATTCTATTTATTAGTTTGATGATAATAATAATAATAAGATAATAATTATTATATGTACTGAGATAATTATTATTGTACTGGTAGTTTTAATTATACTACTACTAATAATTATAATAAAAATTATAATAATTACTTTAATAATAATTATAATACACATTAATATTCGTTTCACAACAATGTAAGTTATAATACTAATTATTATTATCATTATAATGATAATAAAATAATTATTAGAATTATAATTGTTATTATTACAAATGTCGTAACTGAGGTTAATAATAATAATGACTTAGGTATAACTCACATAACAAATAAAAATATGTTGTACTTGGCTGAAATAGTATACATCATTTATTAATATCGTAAAAAATATGTGATAACCATTACAAATGCAATTAATAAAAATATTGTAGTGTATTCTAATCATCCGAAAATATATATTTTTTTGTATTAAATAGGGATTTCTAAATAAAAGTATTTTGAAAGAAGTTACTAGATTTATGTCATGGATGTATATATTAAATATAGCAACTTCTCCAAGACATTCAATTTTATTTCGCAAAATTTAAATAATTATAAAGTAAAATACGGATGCCTATCCTTGTAAAATTCAGCATCGCTTCGATATTGCCAGCTTAATATACAGCTACAGCTCGTCAACTGCCTGAGAGTTTAATTACCTGTTGTTGACATGACAGCTGACGCAGCAGGGGAGAAGTCATTCTCTCCTTCCAAATTTAAACCAACCAATCCCAGGCATCGACCATATTAAGACCCATTGACAGAAAGTGACAAACATGCATATTCATGAAGGTAGAAGTACTGAGCTCAAGATGAAAACGCAAAATAAATTATTTAAAATTAATCAAGCTCTTTTTGGAGTGGACAGGTTGTAAAGGTGATTACTGCCAGATTGAAGTTTCTAAATAGCAAGCAAATATAATCCTGACATTGTTCTAAAATTCTCAAAAACTAATTTAGATATCTTTTTAAAATTCTATATTTAAAAGTAAACTATTTTTCACTTATTTTTCTCAAAGAATTAGCTCGTGCCAATGTCATGGCAAATCATAACGGATGTATATAAATGAAAATTAGAAAACTAATCCGAATATGCAGAGTTTAAAAAAACGTTTGGTGGAATAATTGGAATTTCCTAGCTTTTAAAGTTTTAATTGGCTAAGAAAATAAGGCATATACAGGTGCTTAAAAATGCTTTTGCATTAATATTTGCAAATGTTTGCAAATGTCTTTCACATAATTTGACGTTAGAATTTTTCAAAACAATTTCGATAATTTAGAATTATATATAACAGAATTATTTATTGCTGTTATTTACTTCGATTACTTTCTGTTATTTGAATTATTTATATTTTTGTTATTTCAATACATTACTTCTGTACTTAATATTTTGTTCTACTAATTCCAGTACTAGCAATTTACTTTTATTACTTTATTGAAATCTATAATTTATTTCTTTACTATCCATTTACCTATGCACATGTTTATTTTCAATTTGTTCATGTAACTTCTCGTCATACGATCAAATTTTTTAACCCTTTTATCTTTATGTGTCATTCTTGATTCTTGACTATAGCTCCAAAATGAATTTTACATGAAAGTGAAACTTTTTTGTTGAAACCTTTACATTACTTTTGTCTCACTGTGCATGAAAAGTTTTGCATCATTTGTCAAAATTAAAATGAATTCTAAGGAACAAAAACTATTTAATAACAGATGTAATTTATTTAAGTCTCTCTTGAGATGCATATTGGGCTATTTTATAACTGTCATTCAACAGCAGACTCAATCCTGGGTTTTTGACTACTAATGTTCAACTCCGTAGCCTTGTAATTTTGAACCGAATCCAGAAAACAAGGAAACTCCTGGATTAAGTATTGTGAGAAATTTGCCTTCTAGAGGGACTTTTTTGATGAAATTAACCCGCATTTGGGTTAAATGGAGATGGAACCACGAAAATATCTCATTGCTAGTCTGACAGCAAGGAAACTCTAACCCATGATCCGTCTAGGGATGATGGGTTTCATCCATGATCACTGAGGATATTTTTATACCAGCACTGGGATAAATGCGAGTCAGGTGCGGAATTCGTATCAGGCTTGTAACGACCACAGTGCTGACGTAAAATATCCTCAGTGGTTGAATGATCATGGGGTAGAGTCCCTTTGCCGTCAGGTTAACCGTGGGGAGTTTTCATGTTTTTCCTCTCCATGTAACGCAATTGCTGGTTAGTTCCACCAAAAAGTTCTCCACGAAGATGAATTTCACCCAATATGGATTGATTTCAAAATTACAAGGCTATGGAGTTGAAGCTAAGGATTGGTTTCAAAATTACAAGGCTACGGAGTTGAAGCTATGGATTGGTTTCAAAATTACAAGGTTACGGAGTTGAAGCTATGGATTGGTTTCAAAATTACAAGGCTACGGAGTTGAAGCTATGGATTAGTTTCAAAACTACAAGGCTGCGGAGTTGAAGCTATGGATTGGTTTCAAAATTACAAGGCTACGGAGTTAGTCGTAAACCCGAAAAATTGGGGCGGTTGTTTAACGACGGTTATAAATTAAAATAAAATAAACTAAAATCCACTGTGGGTGTCTGACAGACTACAGCTGCTGTAAAGTTTAGATTAATTGTTTGTGGGAAACGCGTTTTCTTATATAAATCGCATTATTTTAATTGTTTGCGCCACATGTATTGATGCAAGAAATAAATTTAATGTATCGATATATATGAAACCTAACACAAAAATGTTTTAGATCAATATTTTAGCATCATCTTCATAAATGTTCAGATAAACAATCAAAAATAACAATATGTATCATTTGAAATTTTTGAGAAAGCATTTCTTATATGAGGCTAATTAAATCTGGCTTGAACTTCAAAAATTGAACTTTTACTCGAACGAAAAAGCAATTACATAAGTTAGTTGTGTTAAGCCAATTTGAATTTTTAAACTGTAGAAACAGTTACCCAATTCCTTTTCACGATCGATTCCCTGAGGCTTGCTTTTTTGCAAATATTCCTTTTCTTTTTGCATAAACTTAAAATATAAAAAAAATTCTGTTTCCATTTCAAATATTCATCTCTAGTTCTCGAAAACCCAATCTAGTTTGTTTTAAGTGCATTGAGGCTATTTTTCCAACATCCAAAAAATCAGAAATATTTTGATTAAATCTTTTATTTTTAGTACTCATCTCATTTTGACAAAAAAGCGAATTAGGTAGAATGTTTATAATATTAAAAATTAAACTGCTCGATAGTGTCTTTAAAATGTTAATATTCTGAAATTTTTTAAACGCTAGTTTCTTTTAA